TAGTGGCTCATGCATGTCTGTAACCTCAGCACTCTGGGAGCCTGAGGTAGGAGTAGGAGGACTGCTTGAGCTCAGGAGCTCGCGACCAGCCTGGCCAATATAGTAAGACTTCATCTCTACAAAGAATAGAAAATCTTAGCTAGGCATGGTGGCGGATGCCTTTAGTCCCAGCTCCTCAGGAGGCTTAGGTCTTAGGTGGGAGGATTGCTTGAGCCCAGGAATCTGAGGTTGTAGTAAGCCATGATCTTACCACTGTACTCTGGCCTGGTTGACAGAGCGAGACCCTGACTCAAAAAAAAAAAAAGAAAGGTTATACTCTTTCTTAGCTACAGGTGTATGAAAGATAGTTATACAAAGAAAATCTTACTTTAGATATAAAAGTTTAAACTCATATAGTAATAACATCCCACAAAAATGCCTGAAAATCTTCTTTATGTGATTTGACACATTAATTCGAAGTCTTCATTACTGGTCTATCTTACTCTAAACAAATTTGATAAATGGAAATACAGATATATAAAGAAGTAGATCAAATGTGGCTTTGCTTTATAAATGAATCACCATAGCCCAAAACACTGCTGATATTATCTTATTGGTCTTATGTATATTTACCTAATTACTTGTGAGCATGAACATCCTTTTTTTATTTTTAGTTTTTTTGAGATAGGGTCTCACTCTGTCGCCCAGGCTGGAGCACAGTGGCACAATCACAGCTCACTATAGCCTCGACCTCTCGAGCTCAAGCCATCTTCCCACCTCTGCCTCCTGAGTAGCTGGAACCACAGGTACACACCAGCACACCTGGCTAATTTATTTTTTTTGTGGAGATGGGGTCTCCCTATGTTGCCCAAGCTGGTCTTGAACTGGACTCAAGGGATGCGCCCACCTCAGCCTCCCGAATGCTGGGATTAGAGGTGTAGGTCCCCAAGCCTAGCTGATGAACATCTTTTAATATGAATTTCTTCTTTGGAAATGTGACCACCTTTCTGCTGGGTTATCTTTCTCTTACTGATTTATAACATGGATACGAAGCCTGTGGCTTTTCTGAGACAGGGTCTTGCTCTGTCACCCAGGCTGGAGTGCAGTGGCATGATCACGGCTCACTACAGCTTTGACCTCCTAAGATCAAGCAATGAAGCCTTTGTAATTGCAAATATTATTTCGTCTCCTGATTAAATTTTATTTATTTTTTTTGTCAAGGCAAATTATTATTTTTTAATAGACAAATCTATCTTCTCCTTTAAACCTTCTTTGTTTTGTGTCCCATGAAGGCAGGCCCTAACCATCTCATGATTTCTACATCTTTATGTTCAAGACTTTTACAAATTTTTTTCTAGCTGCAGAAAAAAGCCACCTGCAATTTTTTGTTACGCTTGAAGTAGGAGTCTAACTTTCCTTTCAAAAACACCCTTTACTAATCAGTCTTTTATTTATTGATCCAGGGCAATTTGGTCTACAATAAAGGTGGCATATTGATTAATAAATAAAAGACTGACAAGTAAAGGGTGTTAGGGCAATTGGATAATCATTGATAATTTTCTGTTCCTAAGAAATCACTTCTTTTATTTTTTTAGACTGAGTCTCACTCTGTTGCCCAGGCTGGAGTGTGGTGACGCAATTTTGGCTCACTGCAACCTCCACCTCCTGGATTTAAGCAATTCTCCTGCCTCAGCCTCTCGAGTAGCTGG